ACACACACACACACACTTCCCACTTACTACAGCTATGGCAGCTATGGCTACCTCTACCCTATCGCTATGCTAACTCCTCCTCCCTCGCCCACTGCGTCCTCCGGGCTCACTGCAGACCTCCTTGCACAAGTCGCTGTGGCAGCGCTTCCGCGTGGCTCACGCAGGAATGAATGAAAGGCTGGGCGCTGCCTCTTGATTTATACTTCGGAAACTCGTTGGTCTGCCCTTTGCCATCAGCCCATGGTGCTCACAGTCCCCCGTGGTACTTGCTGGACTGGACTGGGACTGACTGGACCTTACCGCTGACTGACTGTGGACTTACTGCTATCCTACCGTCGTCGTACTGCAATTGCACTGCAGTTTAGTCCACCACTTGCGTCGCCACTTGCCCACTTGCCCACTTGCCTACCTTCTAGAAGGACTACAGCTAGCCTTCTGGAACTCGCTAAGACTTCTACCCTATAGATATACAGATCGAACCCTTGCTACCTATGGACCTATGCCAGACCTACCAATTGTCTACGAATACACAGGTTACAGGTTCAACTCTCGGGTCTACACAGATACTGTACATGGGTAGGGTGAGGTCTAGGGATCGAGCCCTGGGATCTGCATCTGTTACTGCAAAGAGGTGAAAACCNACTCTCGGGTCTACACAGATACTGTACATGGGTAGGGTGAGGTCTAGGGATCGAGCCCTGGGATCTGCATCTGTTACTGCAAAGAGGTGAAAACCGTTTCACACAGGCAATGTGTGACAATAAAAGGAGCCTGGATCCACTCCACTCAACTCACTCCTCTGCTTAATTCATCCTCCTCCTTTGCTCAACCCATGCAGGCCTGGATTATTCAGCAGGTGGGCACTCGGCAATCGCATTACAGAAAGGGCATGAAGACTGCTCAAGTGAGGTCAAAGCACACCCTTCAGCAACCCCAGATGAGAATAAATGCCTGACACCACTCCCCCGCAGGCACCCCGTGCAAACGCAGGAACCTTAATCAGGATTAAGGACGCTTGCCTGCACCTCCTCTTCTTTTTCCTGTTGGTAGTGGAAACCCCGCCATAGGCATCGAGGACCCACAAGATATACAAGAAATAGAATAGAAAGCTCAGTCTATGGCAAGTTCACGAGCACCACCATGGACTGACTGAACAGTACAAGAGGAAACAGCCATTCACAAGAAGACCCAGTGCTGCTTCGCGTGCATCAAATAGGAGTAAGGATGCTCATCTAGACCAATCTAGTCATTGGGAGGGAGAGGAGGAAGTAGGCTGCCTTAATGAAAAGACATAAAAGCAAAGTCCACGCGGTAGTGCACACTGTAAGATAGTTGCACAGCAAGCTCAGACAGGACTGCAAGCACGCCGAACACGAGCAAATCAACCTATTGGTGCATTCAAGAAGCACACAGAAAATAACACGAACCAGTTTGGCTGTACCTCGCGCAAAAGAAGTACAGAGGATTGTGCGACCATAGGGAATGGGAGGGGCAGATATGGTGTCGAATTGGTGAAAAGAAAAACGACATTGGCAGACGAAACAAGCCGAAGTCACTGTAAATAAGAGCAGATCATAATCACGATTTCAAAGTAAGCACGGGAAATATGCAAAGAGAAGTTCGCACCTGGCCGGTGACTTTTCTTATGGTCGACAGTGATGCAGTGACAGGGATTAGGTACCATGAGTAGTTCAATACCCAAACAAATCAGGAGAGAAGCGACCGCAAAGAAAACTTCCAAATCACATACAAACCGACTACTAATCATTATAAGAACTAATAAGATCCAGAGTGGACTCAGGTGAAGAGATACAAAACCGAAAACAGTACTGCAAGGAACCATCAACGAGAAAACAGATTTTCCAGCAGCGAAAGACCCAAAGCAGAACCAACATGGATGCGCAAAGTCGAAAGCAGAATAACAAAGCCAAAAGCACACCAATTGAGCACACACTGACGCTGAAGTCTCTTGATAGAGAAAGACCAACTTCTAGCTTCTCATCAATACAAGAACAATGTAGTAGCTCGCCAATGGTGTGACCACCTATACTATGCATGGCCTCACATCAATACAAGAACAATGTAGTAGATCGCCAATCATGTGACCACCTATACTATGCACAGCCTCTCATCAATACAAGAACAATGTAGTAGTTCGCCAATGGTGTGGCCACCTATACTACGCACAGCCTACTCTATCTCACTCTCTCTCTCCTCTCTGTCCCCTGCCCACTTGCCTAACAGTGCTGCAGAGCTTGACCACCCTGAGTGTGTTCTTTCACCATTGCCAGGTAAGTCCACCTGTTCTCACCACTATCCTTTTCACCTGATCACCCCAGCAACAGCACCCCTTCTTCCCTCTTGGCGAAGCTATATCTGCCACCACGCAGGACCAGCAACCCATGGCTGCTTCTCCCCTTCTCCTTCATCAATGCTCAGTGGCCTGGCTGCGTACACTTGCAACAGAGCTAGCGCTGACAGCCAGTGCCTCCAAAACGTGCGGAACTTTGCGGCCTCCTCTTTTCTCTTTATGGAGACCGCGACTGCCTGGCGGGTACTGGGCTCATCCCGGTCTAGAACTTCTGAGATTCTTCAGACTGGGTACCTGGGCCTCAGCAACTACACGTTAGTTTGAGGGGGTTGAGTCCAGCCTTCCTTCTAACTGCCTCATGCCAGCCTCTCGAGACGCCTGGCGGATTTTTGCATGCCCAAATCAATCAGCGCTGTTAATTTTGCATGAGCGGCCCCTGCCAGGCACCGCTGAGGCCTGAACATCGCATTCCCACCCCCTTAGGTTCAAAGTCCTCTGCAGAACCCTTAGTCTTCTTGCTGTTGCTTCCCCTTTAGAGCTCTCTCACAGTGTTGAATGACTTGATGTCCAGACTAGACTAGCTCTTCCCTTGTGAAGCACCAATCTTCTTTAGGATCTAGATGGACCTTGAAAGCCACCCAGAACTGCATCCATGGCTTGCGTGGCCCTCCTCTGCCCCGTGTTTCTGCTGAAGGAAAATGATCACTGTGTGTACATGGCAAGAGTTTGAATGCGTGAAAGACAGGGTAAGAATGGAGATGTGGCAGGAAGGCTATCAAGGTTGTTCCCTAAAATGCCTAAGACAGGCCAGGGAGCAAAATACGGTCAGATAAGCTTCCGTGATATGTTCTTCTCTGGGGTGAACTTTGACGACCTAACCCAGGAATGTGGACACCCATCCCTGCTGATTTTCTCATTATATCATTGCCCTCTGGGCTTTGTGCACAGTCTGCTCTATTATCTTTTTTTGAGTTGGGGGGAGTTCTTGGCTTCCATCCCAAGTGCAGCTGATTGGGTGATTGCCAGGTGGCTGAGTGGACTGCATTGTTAGAAGCTATCTCCGACAGTTTGACACCCCACAATTTGACACCCCAACCAATCTGATTAGAAATGAAGTGGCACGGAAGTTGCTTTACTTCTTTGTTCAGCAGCCCAGCCTGGCGTTGAGATCACACCACGCAGAAGCTGCTGTCCTGCATACCACTCTGACTGTCCTTGGGAAAGTTTTATTTTTCCAATGAGGAACGGTGCATGTTTGGGGTTGACTTAGCCCAGGGGTTGGAACTGACTCCTTTTTCCGGACTGGCCTATACCAAACCGGTCACGGAAGCCTATGAGGTTCATGGAACGCCAGACGTTTCATGGAACGCCGAACGTTTCCGTTGTCACGAGACCTGATGTAGGGGACAGGACTTACTTTAGCCTACCACGGGCAGAATTGTGGCACAGGCTCCCACAGTTCATTGTAGACCTCATATTTGGAAGCCTAGGATGCATCAGACGAATCCTGAGTTCGATAAGAGCATTTGATACATGCCCAGTTGGGCAATGTACATACAGCCAAGGATCCGCAAGGTGATGAAAAGGACTGAATGGACAATGCAGTGTTAGTGGAATCTCAACAAGCAGTGTACATCCTGATACATACAAAATGGCACTTTGTAGCGCAGTGGAAGACTTGGAATGATGTATGTTTAGTCTGCGTTGCAACATTGATTGGGCTAGTCATTGATATTCTAGGATTCTGCTACGCTATCTTGCACTACGTGATAGAGGTCAGTCTCGGTCAGGTCAGGACTTGTATCTAAGTCTTCCCTGTGCTATAAAGCACCATTTTTGTATGTATCCGAATGTACACTGCTTGTTGATATTCTACTTGCACTGCATTGTCCATTCAGTCCTTTTTATCACATTGCAGATACTCGGTTTTATATGTACATCGCCCAACTGGGCATGTAACACTGTCTCAGATTTTCGCACCAGGAATGGGACAATATGATTGCAGAAATCATCAAGAGGGAAAACAGTGGCTTATTAAGCATTTTTGTCAGTTTGCCTTAGATCACCAGAGCTCCGCCTGGCATCAAAAGTCTGAGCCTTTTTGTCAGTTGACTTTAGATCACCAGTGCACCTCCTGGCCTCACGAGTCTGCACTCATCACCCACTACCAGTCTAGCACAGCCATTGTGGTTGGCTAACATACATGCCCATAATCTTTTCTTGCAGCTGCCGGTACCTGAGGCTCAGCAACCACAACCTCACCCATAAATGAGGTTGGACAAAACAGATGCAGCCACAATGCTGGTTTAATCATCTGAAAGGGCCTGGGGATAGCTTTGGCTATTCCCAGTCTGACCATGCAGGATGTTTCATCCAGTGCGCTGCATCAGCCCAGAACTGGCATCGGTAGTGTTCACGGGGTTCCTCAAGTTCATCGAGATGCACGTGCCCCAGTGGCCAATTGCACACTCAAGCCCAATTTGAGCTTCAGGACATGAAATATGGAGAAATAATCAAGGTGGTTGTGAAGCAGACATTAAGCAGTAGCATACCAACGGAGGTGGTTTGCATGCCTGAAGATTCTCTAGGCAGTTTAACTTCCTATCAAAAGGGAATCTACTTCACACACAAAAATGGCTTCCCTCACATTCCATGGCCATTTCACAGATATTGGCCATTTCACACATACCCATTCACCGCCAGGACGTCCACAAAGAGCCGAACCCCGCTTCTGACATACAAAGTCCACAATAGGAGCTTTCTGCAATGCAAGCCGATAGAAACAGGGCACCACAACCACCAGCCAAATAAAACGTTTTCAGAGGCAACTCCTCTTACAAGCCGAATCAGCCCATGAACCAGAAACCCTGCATGTCTATGACGGGAACTAGCTGAAATTGCAACAGGTAACAATAAGCTATGCTGGGCCGTCGCCAGGCCAGGCAAAAAGGATCCCCAGGCCAGGATTGCACTTGGCCTAAGCAGTCAGAATCCGGCCTTAACTTCTATTTCGGTGATGGGTCATCCAGGGGGGATACAGTGACTAAAGGGGTTTAAAAGGGTACATTTCAACTCATGTTTTCTCATTTATTTCTTATCTTAAAGTTAACAACGAATTTCGAGGTGGCCCTCAGCCAAGCATGTTTGTATTGCAATTTTACACGATATTTCTTTTTCGGAATTTTTTGATTTTTTAATTTTCTATTTTTCAAAATATTATGCGCTGGGATCGGCCAGGACCCTGCCCAAACCCTGCCTGGCCCGGGCTTCCCAGGAGGGTGCTGAACGACCTTCCCGCAGCCGGGCCGCTCGGGGACCAGCACAGACAATAAGACTTTCCATCCAGCAGTTGCGGCAGGTAGGCAATTCCCCTGTCCGCCAACTCATCTCGCGAGCCGAGTTTCAAATGATGCCTATTACCGAGAGAACCATAACGATTGGCTGGTACCGACGCTGTTAGATCCTCCGTTCACTTGATACCAATCCCAACACGGCCAAACAATGTGCAGTTTAGCAACAAGACAACATGTCAACCAGCCAAATAAAAAGTTTTCAGAGGCAACTCCTCTACCTGCCCAATCAACCCATGAACCAGAAACACTGCATGTCTATGATGGAAGCTATCTGACATTGCAACCCCTAACAACAAAACTTTTCATCCAGCCGTTGGAGCAAACAGCCACGGGTAGGCAATTCCCCTGGCCGCCAACTATCAACTGATCTCCATTACTAAGAGTGGCATGACGATTGGCTGGTACCTACGCTGTTAGATCCTACATTCACTTGATACCAATCCCAACAAGGCCAAACAGCATGCAGTTGAACCAAGAAGTCCAGCGCAGGCTGATTCAACCCACATTTCAAGCTTCATATGACTCCAGCTACTACAAGTGCAATGAGTCTTGACTGATTCCAACTCCATTAGAAACACCACTTACTGATAGCAAGAAGACTGATATTGTTCAGTTGAATCAAAAAGTACATGGCGTTCAACAAGAGTATCACCCACTGCAGTCAGCATGTCAGTCTTTGTATGATCCCACATGCAAGGTTAGCCACTGTAGTCAGCATGCCAAGCTTTTTGATCCCACATTCAAGGTTTCATATGATTTCCAGAAGTGCTATTTCGCCTTGCTTCATGCCAGACTCATTAATTGTGAAGTGTCTACGATGGAGATTGCACTTCTGTTGTTTCAGCCGGCCATATCGAGTGCCGCGCATTGGTAGATGCAGCCAGTTTATCTGACGACACTTTCCTGAATTCACGTCTTGTTGCTGCAAGCACCGACATATTGCCAAGTGGTTTGCGTCAATCAAGAGGAAAGGCTTTTCAGGATCGCTAATTTTCAAGAGAGGGTAACAAACGAGGGCAGTGACAGCAGTCTTCAAATCTATGAAGGTTCGCTCACACTCCTCACTCCATTCCCAATGGGTGTCAACTTTAGGCAAGTCGGTCAAGGGGCTAGCTATACTACTGTAGTTGTAAACAAACTCTCTGTACTATCCTGCCAGTTGGAAGAATGATCGTACCTCAGATACATTTTCAGCTCTAGGTCAATCTCTTCAAGCCACTGAATTCACATCTGGGGGCATTGGTCTTGCAGCGGTGTTCATCCAAGCAAAACTAGCACAATGCTCAAGTCTTTGACATGCTCCTCCAGACTCCAACTAAAAACAATTATGTCATCAAAGTAGAGATACTAGACAAGTAGTTATGGAACACTCAGTTCATGGCATGTTGGATCGTTTTGGTCCACCGCAAAGCCCAAAAGGCATCATCACAAATTAGTACAGTTCGTACTAGGTCTGTAATGTAGTTTTGTGTTCATCCTCAGATCTTACCATTATCTTAAGGAATCACATCCATCATGCGTCCTGCCAATGGTCATATTTTGCGGTAGGGGTTAGCCTTGCAAACTAAGATGGCATTTAGGCCCATATACTCAATGCATATCGGCAAGGCACCTGCCTTCTTGGGTCCAAAGAACACAGGTGGCCCATACGACAAGGTGCTTGGTCTAATCCAGCCCTTCTCAGTAAGTTCATAGAGTTGTTTGCAGGGCTCGTTGAGCTCCGCAGAAGACATCGTATAGATTCTTCCCTTTAGAATCTTGCTCCTGCAAGGAAAATGGGTGAGACAGAATGACAGAAACCAAAATTGCACCACCACATTGAATGCCAGATAGCCGTGTGTGGAACAGAAAGCAGAATGCACCAAGTTACACACCAGCTACGAGCAAAACAATGAACTCAATTGTCAATGTCAGCCCCCTCTCGCCTCCACAAACAATGTACCCAATGCCGCTCTTCTGGATGGCACCTGGGCTGGTATAGGTGTTGAGAGACTGTAGTTGGGCGCCAGGTGCCATCCAGAACACCAATACCAGCCCACAACTACATAATGCAACCAGCATCACTTCAGCAGCAGACCAACGTACATGAATATGTTGCCGTGCAGACCTCCACGACACACCAGGGACCTCCCTTCATACTCTCTCTCATCCCCTGACTTCCCCTCATAGGCCATGCCAAATGGCACGGACCAGAACCAAGAACCGACCTCTCAAAAATGGCGCACTGATAGCACAGCGGAAGACTGGAATACCAAAAATCAGACCCAAACAATGTCGTGACACAGACTGACCATCATCATCATCATAACCATCACACCGTGCGAGTGGCCTGGCGACGAACACAGAGACAAAGGGTGCCAGGCACATAATCATACACAGATGAGGAGGAGGGAGGAGACACGAAGGGGGAAGATATGGTCGCCAACCCAAAATGTCCTCGATACCAATCCAAAAATAGTCCCCCAAATTGTCTCTGCCTCAATGCCAAGTCTGAATCCGAATGTCGCCAGATCCCAATGTTGCAAATCTCTCTCCCTCTCTCTCTCTCTCTCTCACACACACACACACACACGCACACACACACACACACACACACACACACACACACACACACACACATAGTCTGACGAAGAAGAAAGGGGACCAGAGCGCTGGAGGGGGAGAAGGACGATCGACTGGAGGAGGAGGAAGAAGAAAATCTCTCTCTCTCTCTCTCTCTCTCTCTCTCTCTCTCTCTCTCTCTCTCTCTGTGTATATATATACAGGTACTGGCCTGCGAAAGGTGTCGCCTAACCTCCGATGCAGTAGGCTGCAGCTCTAGCTCGTGGCCAAAAAACCTAACGCAGCGGCCAGCGCTGGAAGACTGCAGCTCTGCCTATCGTCGACTACCACCACACCTGAAGAATGCCTATCGAAACGAAGGCCGACCAGCTATAAATGACGCTGGTCCGGCCTCAGGCAGTCACCTGAGAGGAAACCTGGCGCCTAAACTGGCATCCAAACTGCGGCTGGGCCTCAACGGCCAGCGCCCAACGAAACGGCGCTGCCTCACAGGTCTTGGCGCCAAAACCTGCGCTAAGGCCTGCCGCCTTTCTAGGCCTAACCCGGCCTACAGTCCTACAGGCCCTAAAACAGGCCGAAATGACACCCGGCCTACCTGAGCCTAAAATCCCCCCTAACCGACCCCTGATCCTACCTGGTCGGGCCCGGCAAGGCCCGTGTGGAACTCAAAATGCCACCCCCCCC